GCCCTTGCTGGTAAGCTATCATGGCCCCAGGAATGTTATTTCACCTTACTATTGAAAAAACCGTCAATTTTCCCCCCTGTATTGGTATTTTTCTTTCTTCCTCTCTTTTATCAAAATTTCACGAGAATAAATTATGGCCGATAAGAAGGTCTACTCTGCAAGTAGTACCACTAACCACGCAATTGCGGCCTTCCAGAACCACTATGGCTACTCGCTCAAGCACTGGAGTAATATCAGAACAGTATCCTCAGCAGTGCTCTCAGTTGGGCCGTCCGTCCGTCCTCTAGGCAACCTGCCCGGCAATTGGTTATGGTGGACGTCGGGCCCTACAGTCCCCCACTATATCCTCGTTAATGTCTCAGTTTTTATTTTTATTTTCTGGCTAGCATAGAATATAATGATGAGATAATAGAGCCGGAAATTAGGTTCTGGAGATAATAGTGGCGCTATAAAATATCAATCATGTTCGCGAAATGTAAAATATAGGACAGAATAATCTTAAAAAGAGAATGGGGAGGGAACGAAGATCACAATCGGCTGATGGTGGGGAAACTGTGGCAATACTCAGATGGGTGGGGTGTGCGGACATGGCAAATAAAGAGTAACTTAAATCGGCATGAAAATAATTCGACGGTCATGTTAGTGCAGGGAAAGGATGGGTGGGGGTGGGGTATAGAGCGGGAGTATATGAATAGCATAACATACGTGAATATAGAGACAACAAAAAAAAGAGAAGCCCGACAACAGAAGAGGCACGAAGTCCAATGGAATATAATTTGAGTGCTTTAAGGGTATCTTGCATCAGGCTAACATATGGATTCACCCCTCCATATGCTAAGTCCTGTGGTTCCCTGTGATCCACCAGCCACCCTGCTAGTATCCTGGCTAATAGTTTCTCGGGTTGTCCCGCCTGAAACACCCGTCCTTGGATATGAAGGACGAGGACTGGGTACCTTATGCTGCCCGTCTAGTCCAGGGCTCTTGGCGGTCCGTCCTCCAGGCCCTCTGGGGCCCCCGGACCGCTGAGAACGCTGGTCCTCAGTTCTGTCCGCTTCTCAACCCTTATCGAAATCACTAGTTGGCAAAGGATTCTCACGGGGGATACGCTCTAATCCAAATCGATAGCGACAAGATTGGCAACTCTAGCTTCACTGGGAACTCAATTGATCTCGGTCCTGAGATCCCCCCAGAATGTTTCATTCCTTTCATGAGGCTGCCCTGTGAGTGATCACCGGGTGATCCGACGGCAATAGTTTTAGAGATCGATTCTAAAGATTGTACCGCAAAAATCCTTTAAATCCACCATCGGGGATCGGGCTCAGCAATTGCGCAATTGGATAAGTGAAATTAAGCTAAGAGATTGAGTGACTAGTTGTGATGCTAAAATTAAAAGAAGCCGCACAGACAGTATCGAACCAAAACAGAACTCGTATTCTGGAAAGCATGTCAGAGATGAGAGATCCTTTAAAATTCTTTTCATAATAGTGGTAGTCATAGGGCACACCCGAAACCCGGCCCAGTATTAAGTCATAAAGAAACCTGTGAAATAAGTTAGAAGCCAGAAATGAACGTAATAGAAGATAAAACAATGTAAATAATGACGGAATGCAGAGAGGACTGAGGGAGCGGAGAGGTATGAGGAGAGAGTACTATAAGGTACTGGAAAATAAGAGAGAATAGAAATTCAAATCAGTGGAAATAGTCAAGATGCCACCGATTTGAAATCCCAGAAGCCGCCGAGGGCCGAAAGCAAAAACAATCGAAGCACGCGAATCCACTCCAAAGCCAATCCGATATTTAGAGAGAACCTATAGCCAAATCAGAAGCTACGCGTACTCGCCTTTCTTGAGCATCACGAAATACCACTCCCCGCTGACCGAGGATATCAACGATCAACACAGCAGGAAGCATCGAAAGTGTACCTAATTCCACGAAGAACGATATCAGACTGGGTTAGGAGTAAGAAAAAAATTGAAGCAGTAGGAAAGAACTCACCGGTGAAGAAACAAGAGGAGGAATTGGGATACAGTCAACGGGTGCTATGGCCAAAACTCGAAAAAAAAATTACATGGTGAGTCTATAGACAGAAGGAAAGCAGGAAGGATAGCCAAAGGGGGAATGGTTTCGAATCCAATCCAAGTTTCCCTTTCGATCGATTTATCCCAATGTGATTTTGACTGTATTTTCATTCAGTAATCGGTGGTTTCAAGGATTCCTCAGTCGCCATCAAATAAGTCTACGAAGTATCACGAAAACAGCGTAGTGGTTACTGGAAGGACTACCGAATCCATATTGTCAATTGGCTTTGGTTTCATCGTCGAAACTCACGACCTCACGTGGGGTGTTTTTGGGAGGTTTCTGTGGAGCAATCTGGTGGGACGATATGAGCTCTCGCATATCTGTAACCTTGATGAAACTCCTCCTATACCCTTTGAGTTTTTAGATGAAAAGACTTATAATATCATGGGTGAGAAGACTGTTTGGGCGAAGGAATCAAAGTCCGGCTGGAGAAAGAGGCAAGCTAGTTTAGTACTTTGCATATTTGCGGGTGGTGTTCCTCGAATACTACCCATGATAATCTTTCATGGTACCGGCCGGAGACGTGGCAATGAGAGGCTGCAGTATGATTCTCGAGTACTAGTTGAGTATAATCCTACATACAGCATATATGAACGAGGGTTTATTTGAGCGATATATTACAAACAACCTCCTCCCCGTCCTTGGCGGCCAACCCACTCTTTTTACTATGGATCTAATGGGCTCTCACAAAACACCTGCCATCCTTGACCTTCTCTCGAAATACAATATTACCCCGTCCTTCATCCCCGCTAGATGTACCAGCCTTGTCCAACCCTTAGATGTCTCTGTCAAAAAGCTACTAAAGGATCGATTGTGGTATCTTACAAACAAGCACATCTTCGAACTCGAGTCCATGGCAGATTTTGAGAAGTGGACAATCCGAGATCGTCGAATAATGGCAACACATTGTGTTAGCCAGGCATTTTACGAATTTCACAATGAGAAGCAAGAGGTTATTCGACGTTCCTTTAGTAAGGTCAGCCTGTCACTTCCTATCGACGGAAGTTCAGATCATGAGTTGGATGTGAAGGGTTTTATGGTCTTGGAAATTGGAAATTGGAGACCGGATTTAGGGTCACCTGAGAACAGAAGTGCTCTGGATGTGGAAGAATACCAGGGAATTGAGTTGTATCTACTGATCTTGAGGATTGATCTTTTCATTACATGTACTTGGAGTTGACATAGCTGACTAAATTGTGGACGTTAAAGCCTGGCAATCTCGGCATCATGGCCAGTCACTCAATCTCTTGGCTTAATTTCACTTATCCAATTGTGCAATTGCCGAGCCCGATCCCCGATGGTGGATTTAAAGGATTTTTGTGGTATTATAGTTCCATAGGTTTGCCACAATAGTTCAAAGGGGGTTTTGTGAAATAATACCTATTATCAAGGAGTGCCGTATTTTGCAGTCGGAGTTGGGGGAGGGGAAAGCGAATCACATTGGGGCCTTTGCCCACAGCGCTTTAGCCTGCACTCCTACCTGTCACCCCCACGGAGAGAATAGACGGATTTCTCACCGGCACTACCTAAGACGGGTGGGGGGGCTACACTTGTGAGGAGTATTTCCTATTGGTCATTCACTTTGGCGGGAGGGAAACGATTGGATAGTGATTGTGCCACAACGGCCTCATCACCCCGCGGTCTTCATCTCTGCTCACCGAATTTTTATAAACTCCCTGATATCTCTACGGACCGCTACACCGTTTCCACCTTCAACTGCGACCTTGGATAGGACGTCATCGCCCAAACTTCACTTATGCAATAGGTCAGCTTCGGCGGCGGTAACACTTACTACAATAACATAATCGGTAATTTCAACAAAACCTTCGGTAAGTCCGACAGGAATGTGCGGATTTCGCGTTGGATCTCTCCATTGGAGCTAAACCATCGACTCCAGGTTGTTCGCACCGGCCGGTTCGATGGTGTTGGGGAATGGCACTTGGAAACGAGGGAACCGAGAGAGTGGAGCGTGTAGGTGGTAGGGGGGTCTTAGTTTGCTCCAGGGATCCCGGAGTAGGCAAGACATACCCGAAGTAAGTCGCAGGATTCTTTTGAAGAAGCGAATACCGCTGACAGCCCGAAAAACCAGTTCATTAGTGATCGACAGCTTGTGCGATGCCGCAGGGAAGGAAAATATTGTCATTGCAGGCTTGTACTGCGACTTACTTTCACATGAAGAGCAAACAATCGCCAACCCCAGGGTAGCTATTCTAAAGCAGCTGGTGGTCTGGCTTACCTTGTATGATTCTTGCCGGAGGTGATATACCGTGATATGGGCCATCCGGGGAAGAGGCCCTTCGGCTAGGTCGTGGCAAGGTTGAAAACTTGGCCCCTCGTCCTTGCTACTAGTTATATGGGAGGGTTTCTCCAACCTGGGCTTCGGCTGCGTTAGGTCACGTTTCCCAAGTTTGAAGAATGGTACTACGAAGCAAAATGGTACTCGAGGAAAAGGGCAGGGGAGGGCGAGAGATGAAAGTCTGAATGTCCTTTACTCACCTTTGATGTTTTTGTGACCTTTAATAATATTCGGCTGATTCTTAGACCATGGTGGATGATGATCGCCCTCTACTGCCCTTGACCTCCTTAAGTAACCTATTTTCCTCCACACAAATTCCTAGCTTTAGCTCTGGATACTATCATACCCCTGGAGTCAACGAGTACTGTACCTGCGCCGACCACCACGAGTCTGCTAGCCTGTCCGACAATATGGTGTCTGTTTTTGTTTCTTCATTCATAAGGGTGACCACATTGGGGTACATATATTTCGCTGGGTGAGATCTAATCTTTGGTCGACTAACTAATACCCTCAAAATGGACCTACACCCTTCCTCCCCATTACCACAACTAACAAAATATGTTTACCAGGACAAAAAACCCCTCTATCCTTCCTCGACTACCTATCACTTCTGATTAGTGTATCATTAGCCCCGCTGGGCCTCTCTAGCCCTAGGTGAGATAGCCCTACTAACACCATTATTCAATGACTCGGGGGGCTCAGTATAGTATCCCTCCGGCGGAACCATTGCGTACTTTCCAGCCCACTCTGTAACCTCTGGTGCAAGGAACACTCCCAAGAGACCATGGACTTTCTCTTGATCTTTAGCTTGATCAGAAATGACCTCATTTGGGCCTGGGTCGAAATCCCATGCTCTAGGAGCCCTACCTTCGAGCGTATTCAATGCTTTGACATCAGGAAGAGCAACCCTGGAGACGCCATTCGTCTAGAATACCGGATGTGTGGTATCCAGACAAACCGCATGGAGCTGTTTCGAATCCGCCATGGTGTGAGCAGCAAACTGTTCAAAGATCCTATTCCTAATATCGGCCTTCGTAGTCTTAATCTCAAGGGAACAATGTCCCGAACATGGTGGGTGAAGAGTGCAGAGGTATTCACAGTAGCATGCATACTAGCCGTAGCAGAAACCACTTCCTTCTCAGCAGGCGCGGCAGGAGTAACGGCTGTCAAGTCCAGCCAGTGGAATGCTAGTGCCACTTCCACCCCCTACGAATCGCTCCAATCCACCGTCAGTCCCACCTCCTGTGCAACATATCCACCGAACCGCGATCTCCCGGCCCACCTGGGCCCCTATCTTGCGACCTTGGACAACTGAGTCGGTGACTCAGGCAGCTCATACAGTACGCTCGCGACTGAGACAGAGTGAGGTTGGCGTCCTCGAGGTCCTGTCTCAAAATTTTGAGTTCGCCGAAACAGGCAGTTTGCCGGGCTCCTGAGACGTCGTGAGCCTAAAAACTTAGTCAGAAGGCGTTCTGGGTAGAGGCTCTGCTGCAGACCGCTGTGGTGTGGGTTTTTAGCTCGGCTTGCGGGAGAGAGGGGCTGGTAGGGAGATTGAGCCTCGTGTCACGCTTACCCCAGTACCTATTTAATAATATTTTAGATAGGGGATCATTCGATTCCCGGGTTGTGGCAGGAAGGGATGGGGGGGGAACATCCGATGGGGGTCGGGTGGAGCTGAGTCGGGTGATAGAGGGGTAAAAATACACTTGACGACAGCAATGTTGACGCGGGTGGTAGCGCTCGCAGAGTAGACCTTCTCATCGGCCATAATTTATTCTCGTGAAGTTTTGATAGAAGAGAAGAGATAAAAATTACAACTCAGGGGAGAAGTTGATGGTCTTTTCAATCGGGAAGTCAAACAACATTCCTGGGGCGGTGATAGCTCACCAGCGACACTATGATAAGCGGGCAAGTCTCAAACCCGCAAACCCTTCCACATGGGCCCTTGTTATCGGGAGAAACCTCGCTTCTCATCCGAGAGGAGAGATTGTCTTTTCATTACCTCACTCTTCCTTCAAACCCCGCCAAAATGCCCAGCTCATAAGACCTCAACCCCAACGCCCCTGATACCCGACCCATGTACGGTACCTCATTCTATGATACTCCTTCAACAATGCTGGCCTCAGCGAAACCCTCACATCCTGCGAACTGTCGAAAATGGACCAGCTGAACACCTCAAACCCTCTAACTTAGAGCTCTGGGTTGGCCGGGAGGTCTCTACAGTCCAGCGGGCAAATATGGAGGGGTCGAATTCAGAACCTGATTCACAGTCTCAAGAGCCGAGGAGTGGAAATTGTATATACTTCTCGGAGGAGATGTTTTTCGGAGCAATGAAGCGTGTGGACAGGGATCTAAGGGCCGAGGATATGCGCGCAAACGCTCCGATGCAAAACGCTGTGAACGAGTGAGCGTGGAAGGCGATTACGCAGGGGGGGGCGGGTAAGGGTTCTGAGAAGATGGCTGTAAGCTCTAGCTATTTCGCCATAAGTATTCACTGATATGTGAGCTTATAGATGTGGATGGCCAAAGCTTGTATCTTTCTCTCGTGACAAACACTCATGCCCAAAGCCCGGTTCACGGTCCTATTAGGATAGCAATTCCTCCTTTACTTGTCAATAACTAACACGAACTAGCTACCAAGCTCCTTTCGGCTACCATGACTGGACAGTTGACCGTGGTGGAGGAAGAAGATCGACTGCTTACTGCTTTCTACAGTGGAAAGCCCGATCAGAAACCTCCTGAAGGGTTGAGTTTTTACCCAAACGGCAGTCCGAAGTTTATGACCGGATGGCTCACAGATTCAGGGATTGGCAGGGTGTGTGGAGAGATGGAGAAATGTGCGGAGAGACAGAGATAGGTGTGGTGGTCTATGGAAGAGTCAGGATGCTTTGACTATGCTTTATTTACTCGTGCCTCCTCGCCAAGAGTTGGCACCTGTTTCGGCATAGTGAGCATAAACCCAAATGTAGTATGGTGTAACTACTTGGTAATTGAGTGGGAGTGTATGCCCCAGGAACTGATTGATCGTTTCTGTATGAATTTTCACACAAATTTGCTACAGGTTCAAGCATGTGGAGGAGATAATAGATTTAATGCATGATTCTGTTTGTGTAAATGATTGCTACTTTGTTTTCTGTATTTATAGTCTGTTGATTATTGGGAAACTAGGCAAGGGAGGGGTGGTGAATTGAAGGCTATACCGCTTACAGGTCAGTGGCAGCTATTCCGAAACGGGTGCCAACTCTTGGCGAGGAGGCACGAGTACACTCGGAGGGATTGGCAAAAATGGAAACTAGAAGTGGCAAAATAGGAGTTAGAGGAAACTGAAATATAACTGTCTGGAAAGCTCGACCCCATGGCACAAGGGAGACAGCTTGCAAAGTTATGTTGCATCAAGTAATATACATCATGATAATGCGGAGTTGGAGACCAAGATAAAGAGAACCGAGAGGTAAAAGCTTGGAGTACAACTGAGAAAAAGGTGATAAGTTTGTCCCAGCCTTGCAAAATTCCATCCTTGAATTATACCCCTCCGTGCACTCTCTTTTCCCCACCGACCCATCATGCTACAGGTTCTTGAGCCGTCCAGCCCTACTGGTATTCTCTAGATGTGTCCGGATTCTTCTCGCAGGCATCGTATCGCATGGGTTTAGGTTGATTTTTTTTGCTAACACCCCTTAGTACACCTGTCTTTGCCATTAGTTATTGATGGAGAATTCTGAGAGAACTAAAGTGTTTGCCATACCTTCCCGCTCTCTCTTAGTGTACAGGGTCGATAAGTCATTAGTATCCACTTCAGGGCTCATGCAACGAACTCGGGTTATTTTAATCCACCCCTTCTACCATATCTGCGACGTTTGTGCTGCGCAACCGTATCCGTCTCTCCCCATCCTCCTGTTTTGTTGGAAATACTTCCTCCCCGATGACTGTGACGTTCGTGCTGCGCGGATGCACCCGTCTCCTCCAACCCCCCTGCCTCCTTTGACAAACTTCCTCCACCATGTCTGCGACGTTTGTGCTGTGCAAACGTGTCTGTCTCCTCCCATTCTCCCGCTTCCTTTAACAATTTCTTCGCACGACGAGTGGCTCTTAACCACTCCGTGTCCTGAAGTGACCTGGTCACAAATTCCCGGAGTTCTGCCAAACTGAAAATGATGCTCTCGGTTGGATCCACACCTGGGGGGGCGCTGTCTCCGAAAATTTCCATGAAGGTTATTTTAAACTCCTTTGGTGCTTCACTCTCAACGGGTGGTGCTGGTATGACTGTTGCGGAAAACGTTTCCATAATATCCCCTTGGTTTTCGCATGCCTGATACATGTGTATGGTTACCTTTAAGTCACTAACTAGAGGCTTCGTTAGTTTGGCATGCGTATTAAGGTTTGTTAATCTTTCTGCCAAACTGTTGAGGTCTGTCCCAGCCGCGATACTCTGTATCAGTGCTTGCTCCTCCGTAAAGGTTTTGCCCATCCGGGACACGTCTTCCGATATCGTCTCATGTATGTCCACAGGGTTCTGAGTATTACTTTCCGTAATGCAGACGACGATAACTATTCTCGTGATACCTCCAGTATGTAAAAGCCAGAGGCGTGCATCGGCCATCAAGTGCTCCAGTGTCTCACTCCACCCAGCTTCACAGACCACTGAGGGAAACTTTGATGCACTCAATTTGACATACGCGTCTGGCTGTTTCTCGGATGATCCTGTCCAGTCTCCTTTGAAACCTCCAAAGGCTGGTGAACGTTAGACAAAATAATGAGAGGATTCATTTGTTTACTTACTTGTCCCCGAATTAATATTTACCAGGCCCTTGGCTTGTGAAAATCCAACTTTTTCAACAAGGGCTCCGAAGACGTTTTCCATAAAAAATGCTTGGAGGGAGTCATGAGTAGCGGTAGGCATACATTTTATAATAAAGCGCTCGGTTAAAAAATTGTACTCAAAGCGGATATCCTTGGCTTCCAAGAGGTCCGGATTCTGGAGCTTCCAATTGTGCACGTCTTGTTCGGAAACGTCTTGACAACACAGGTCTCCTTCATAATTTTCCCGGATATCTAGAATCTGTTTTCGCTGGAGAGCCTTGATTTGGAAAATTGGCCTGGGTTCCATATCGGTGTCTGAATTTGATTGGAAAGCAGGAAGTGGAAGAGGGGTATCCGTGGACAAGGAAGTTGGCCGAAGCGAGATGGGTTTCATAGGGCGGGGGGCAGCCGGGTGTTTTATAGTTCTGCCAGATGTGGTCTTTTTCGGTACGGCACGTTTGCCCGGTAACCCATGTATACCGGTATGATTGCGGCTTGCCTCAGAATAGTTATGATACCCCAACTCGGACGACCTAAAGGAGCTACCACCACCGCTGAGGGCAACAGAAATAGCCGGTCGCTCATTGGACCCAAGGTGGAACACACTTTGCCACATAGCTACTCGAGTAAAACGATGCAGAATAATGACTTGGTAAACAAATCATAAAAAGGATACCAAGGCCCCTTTCAATGCAGTTATTAAGAACTTGGTACTGTGTAGAGGAAAGCAAAGCTGGAGGGAATTAATGTAGTATCGCTCTGGAAGGGAGAGTGAATAGGGAGAAACCGGAGAAAGGAGTGCAACTGGTGCAAAATAGGATAGGAATTGATGACAAAGTAGTGTAGGGATGGTTCAATTAGGCACGAGCTGATGGTCCACGGTGGGGCGAGATGAGATTCAGCAAGCTCAGCCAACAGGGAAACACGAAAGACCAATGACTCCCGGATCAGCCGTGGGGCCGGGCTGGGGGGGATACCCGGAGCGTGAAGAGGAGAATTGGGGACAGTCTGACGTCTAACTGAGAATAAGGACCGAAAAACGAAGTATCCGAACAGGATGCGGAAGTGATGGAGCGATGAGCATGCGATGATACTGAGATGATTGTGAAAGGATAATGTAATTAATGAGAAAGGATGGAGAGAAGATGGTTGTCTAACAGCGGCAGGCCACGAATCGAAATATATACGCAAGCACTTCCACCACTAGGGAATATTTAGGCCTACTCTGCGGATATCTGTGTCCAAACTCCTCCATCTTATCCGATTGACGACGGCGAGGGGGGGCATACACAGCACAAGAAGGCATGAGGGAGGTGGACAATACCAGATCCATGATATCCCGATCCACAACTCCGGGGGTTTTGAGTTTTCAAAACATATTGTACACGATTTTTTTCCTTTTTCCAGGCTCTAAACCGGGTGTAAACCCTCCCCGTCTTCTGTCTCCGTAGTGAGATAAAGTGTTTGTTTTCTTTGCACCTGTCTAGTGAACGGCACGTGGCGATTTAAGTTTAAGGTTAGTTGGTGCACTGTCTCATATTGTATGGTACCCTATGCGAATTTGGAGTTTGGATTTGTGCATAGTTTCATAAATGAATGGCGGGTTGTGGTGGGGGGATAAAAAGCACTAGGGAAGGGGAGGGGGTCACAGGTGAGTTATCTTCTTAGAAAAACCAGCGGCCAGGTGTGATAGTATGCAAACGCAGGCTCAGGCAGAGCGTCGTACCAGTTGATCATCACTATATATAGATTTTATGGCACAATTTACTAAGGGTCCGTTTACCTAGAGACCATCGTCTAGCGGATGGAGGCGGCTTGACAGTCGTACTGTGCTGTACTCAGGCAGAGAGTCTGGATATGGCCTTTACCTTGAGTAGAGACCGTCTAGAGTTTTTCGGTGACGGTTGCAACTGGAAACGTCTCATTTTGACCGTGTGGAATCAGGTATTTGAGACTGCTGAAAATGAG